TTTTATATTTATTATGCTGAAATAAAAGGATTTTGTTCTATCATTTATTTTGTTAATGAGTTTATTTTATTTAATTATTAATGTGTGCAGGCATTTTGTTTCTATAAATCTACATTATCTATTGAATTTAAAAGTTCCGCTAACTTAAATTTTACTTTTTTATAAATTTCTCTCAGTCATTATCAATTAAAGAAAATGTTTGTATATAAAGTTAAAACAATGGGATTCAGAACAGGAAGCTATGAGAATTAGTAAATTTATATTTTTAATAATAAAATTAATTGTTTATCAAACAATTAGATATAGAAGTTCAAAAAGGAGGAACAAACTGACAATTAAAATTTCAAAGATAATCTTTCCGAAAATAAAATAAATTTCCTTTTGACAAACATTATCCTGCTGTGAATTAAATGTTTAAGAATTTTTACTGAATACAAGACAATAAAAAGATGCCCGCTTCATATATTTTGCAGTTTCTTCTTTTATAGCAGGTTCTCACTTATTCTAAGGATTTTTTTTTTTTGGGGGGGGGGGTTCAATTGCCCCTTTTTATGAAGAAATCTCTGATGATCAACTCCCTGTTTATGTCTCTAAACGAGCTTGGTTATTCAAAATATAAAGAATTTTTTAGGGCCATTTTATTTATTAACATATATTGTGTCCAGTGTATTCTAATATTTTGACATACCTGACATTAATATAAGTTGCCACTTCTTTCCAACATTTAAGAAGTTTTAAAAATTAAGTATTGTTTTACAATATATTTAATAATAATTCAATAAAAATACAATTTTGAAGGCAGTATTTTACATTTTAATCATAATTTGTTGTACCTTGAATTATATTATTTTTTCCATTTTGCTTAAATTATAATGCTTCAATTATAGTTGCCGTAACCTTTCACCTTCAAAACTTTTGTTAAAACTAATGTTTTTAGTAATTTGTTTTGCATTAATTATTATTGTAGATTATCATTTCTTCATCATACATTGTGATATATTAGCAGAATAATCGCAACCAATTTTTATGTTTATTTCTTCATCACCATTAAAAGAAAGTAATTTTTTTCAAGTCATCTTTATTAAATATTTAATTATTTATTTATTTTCCAATTTGATAGTCTGAAGCATTCAGTTTGAATACCAATGATTTCAAAAATTATTGTTCATTTTTGAATTAGAAGAAGCATTTGAGGGCTTTTATTGGTTTAATATGAGTTTTAGTTCAAGTTTCAATTACTTACAAAAACTGCTCAATATTTTAAATTATAAAATTTTTTTTTCATTCAAAGTTTTTTTATCACAATAATTCTTAGTTCTAACATTATTCTAACATACATTAATTTTTAAAAAAATATTCAGGTTAACTTAAATTATTTTCTGATTTGTTTTCAATAGTTATTTTAGATTAACAAGATTTTAAATGAAATCTTTGAATAAAAGCAATATTGTTTTTATTATATAACCGTTTTTCTTTATCAGTAATATTCCATAAAAATATTTTAAATCCCAATACAGTTGTAAAACACATCATATGCACATGTCAAAATGCATATTTTGACAATTTTAACTTTTCTTCTCATTTAAGTTTTAAATCCCACCTTCAATTTAGTCTGACGTCATAGCAGAACGTGACTATTTCTTCTCCCCCCCCCGAATATTTCATCTTTAATGCCTCCATTGAATTCGACATGATGTTCTTAAAAGAATTTCAACATGCTACTTACAGATAACAAATCAGTACTTCGACGCATATAGCCCCAAAAGAAAAATGGCGTCATTAGCAAACGACATTTTCGCTATCGAAAACAAATAATTATATTAAAAAATAAGCCGAAAGACGATGTAAAAAAAAGCAGAAATCATTAGATGAGTGAACAACAAGCATCATTAAACTGGAATAAATTTAGAAAACTTCCGGTATATATCTCCGCTTATGGTATGCTAACGAGGCAATATTCTTAGAAGTTTGATTAACGTGATTGCTTAAATTTAGGCGCAATTTTACTATTCGTAAAACTTTTCTGTGATTTATAAATTCTAACGGGTCGTATGCCTAAAACAAGTTTAAGAAAATTAATATCACAGCTTAAAATATGTGTAAGGTTTGCATGTTTTGAGTGTTATCCCTGATTTGGCTATATTTGTGTAAAATATAGCCGTTTGTTATTTTTTGGGTCAACATCATAGCATGCATGCAGAGTCTTCTGAATTCCTTTGTTATTTGTTTCCTTGAAAATTAAATTGAAAGAACGTGTTATATGGTAAACGCTGCAAGTATAATAAGTTTGAATGCAGACATTAAAGGCTTATTATTTGTAAAAATATTAAACTTTTTTCCTTACAGCAAATGCTTAGAATATTTGTTGTTGTTGATGATGCTGTTAATTCACGTCGCACTAGAGCTGCACAATGGGCTATTGGCGACGGTCTGTGAAACATCCCGGAGGATGATCCGAAGACATGCTATCACAATTTTGATCCTCTGAGGCCCACAATTTTGATGTTCGGTAGCCCGACGACCTGCGCGAAGTGGAGCACTTTACGGTAGCACAGTATAACGAGGACCAATACCGCACACCCTCGGTCCCTACGCAGACCTTAGGATATTTAATTGATAAATAAATTCCGAGTAACTCTCAATAGTAAGTACTATAATTTCGGTAGTATTTAATATTAAGTATTAAGCGTAATATTAAGTATAATTTAACATATTAAATTCCTATCTGCTGCATCTTTTTAAGATTATAAAAAGTAATTAAAAAAATGACACACTTGTTTTTTTAGTGGAGAAAAAGATTTGCTAAGAAAATTGAGACAGCTTCTGGTAATTAATAATCAATATTTATTATTTACAATTTAACTTTAGATAATCTAATAAAATAATAGGAAAATAAAAAGTTCTACAAACTTTTTAGTCAGAAAAAAATTAACATTTACGATTTTAACTATAAGTTCATCAAATATACTATTGCAACCCCAAAAATACCTATTTATTCGCATATAGCAAAGAAAAATTAAATTCAATTAGTTTTTTTTTTTTTTAAAAAAGAGAGATAAATATGCTTATGATATTAAAAATAAATTAAGTTTAATTATAGTTAAATTAAATAAATTATTAGTTAAATTAAGTAAAATAATTTAAGTCAAATTAAGTAAATAGAGAACGGGAAGCGATCGCCTCCCCAGGTTTCCCTTTTCGCGAAGAAGTGCGTAGGAAAAATAGTGAAGTTCATTTTTAGATAGTAAGCAGCTGTTTTTTTTAACCAACTCGATGACGTCACGTCGATAGACATAATTCCGTGCAGGTGATTCCTTAGTTTCAGCAGTCTACTGTCTGGGGGATTTGATATTTTAATTGAGTTTTTCGCATGAATTAACTTAGCTCTTTTATTTAGCATAGACGGCTCTTTATTTCAAAACATTTTAAGTTGCGCGTGTGTGTTGCACAGCTGAAATAACTATGAGTACACATCGTTTAGCCATGGGTAAGTGTATTCTTTTTCCAAAATTATTTCGTTTTGATTTATAGAATAAGAAAAATTTTAATATTAAATTGTTTTTGAAAAAAAGTTTTTATGTTTTGATTTAACGATTCGAAAAAAAGGATTATCAATTTGCCAGGTGACATTGACGAGGAATTCACCTGCAGCGGCGTATTTGAAACCCCCGTCTAATGATGCCAAACGGGCCAAAAAAGTCGAGAGAAAGTATGATTTGGACTTAGAGGAAAGTACGAGCTAAGTACATAAGGAGCCGCTCTACATTGTGCATTTGGGAAGGGGGCTTAATTTTCGAATACAAGGAATTTCGAGGCTCTCATTATGTGGGTTTGGCGAAAGTAACAGAAAACGACATCCGTCACAGATTTAATATTCCTGTGAATCAAATTGACACATTGCAGAAGGCGTTAGAGGCAATCAAGACCCACCTGCGTAAAAACAAACTAGTGATATAATTTTCAAAATTTTTCCTGACTAACATGAAATATAGATGTAGTAGCATAGCTGGTTTAAAATAGAGTAGTATAATATATATATGTATTGGCATAACTGGTTTAATTTTTTTTTAAAATATTACTCATTAATAGTTTTATTTTTTTTAAAAAAAATTTCTGAATATATATATAGTTGCATATATATACATGGATATATAGTTGCATATATATATATATATATTAATTTTTTAAAAAAAATATATATTACTCATTAATAGTTTCATTTTTTTTCCAGAAAAAGGCGATACAATTTTTATTTTAAAGCACTTTCATTTAAACTTTATTTTAGCATTGAATGTTATTTTTTAGTTGATGATATAGTTACAACGAAAAGTCAAGTAAATGTGGTGATTGTTATTATTATTAAATTTCTTTAAAAGTACTATTCTTTTGTGTTTTTAAATTTATTTATTTTAAGCGATTGCTGAATTTTAACTGAATACCTTTTTAAATGTAATTGCTGAATATCTTTTTAAACTCGGAAGAGAAAAATTTTTTTCCTCTTATCCATACACACACACACATTCCATGCTTGAAAGTTTCTTTTTTAAAAGGATTGTTTTGATAGTGATTATAGTGGTTTCTGTGTGTATTCTTCTTCTTGAATAAGTTGAGTTTTTTTGCTTAACATGATTACTTTTCAAGAGAGACGTTCATCCTTTAATGGTTTTATTCGCACGCATAGCATGTAGACTACAATGACTTATGTACATTTTATCGCGATGCTAAGCCTGCAATTTTCAACCTGTTAAATACATCCATCACTCTAAGAATGAGAATTATTATTTGTCTGAGCGTTTTATTTTCGAAAGAAATCGACGGGGAAGAGCTGCAACAGCCAGGGACAGAACCAGAAATGTTTCCTGGGGGGGGGTCATGGACTCATATTCCGCCCCCCCCCCGACAATTAATTTTTATTTTAAATTTTAAATGTTTTTTTTGAGTAAAAAAAACTGGGGTTTTTAATGCTAGTCTCTTCATTTATTTTTTTCATAATGAACAATAGAACAATACATAAATAATTCAAGTATTCAACATCTTTAAATAATAAATGTAATGCGTTTTTTAGAAACTTTGGCAAATCTGCCAACCTGTTGAAACTCTCGGTGTGCTTCAACATTATTAATGTTTACAATGAAACTATGACGAATTTCGTTTTAATCTTTTGGATTATGATTCTTGAAACAGTGAAGAACGTAATTAGATGGAAAAAAATCGATTTTTCAGACCTACCTAAGTGTATATGCCCCCTTAAATAATTCTTAAAATATTTTATTTCCTTTGTAAACTATTAAAAAAATTATTATTTTTACTTTTTAAAAGAAAAATTGTGGGGGGGCAAGGCCACTATGATCCCCCCCCCCTTTGAATCCGCCACTGGCAACAGCCTTTTTACTTCTGTAGCTTTTAATAACGGATTCTTTCGCGATATGAAATTAAAAGTACGACCGATAAATGTTTCCGAAAAATATTCAATCAAATTGAAAACTTCACAAAAAACGGTTCCTTGCTGGGTTGTTAAAAGGATCGAAGTTTTAGACGCACACGTAGGCAATTTTAGATTTTGCAGAGAGGGTTGTAGCAATGCAAAATTACCAACATATTTGAAAAACAAATAAAGCATTGTTAAACGCTAAGTGCCACGTCAAACTTTGCTTTTCATGCGCTATCGCTGCTGCCTTACATCCTGTTCGAGTTAATGCTAATCGGAGTAAAAAGTACACTAGATTCGTAAGGAAATTTAAATTGGATAATGTAACTTTTCTATAAGTGTTTATAAGTAACATCAAAAAGTTTGAAAAAATTAACAATTTGAAAATAAATGTATATGGAATAGAAGACAAAATCGTCTGCCCGATTTACGTTTCAGACGATGAGACAAATACGAATCCAAATTGATTTGTTATTTTTTGATAATCATTTTCTTCTCATAAAAAATTTCAATAGGTTTTTATGCCCCGGACATAGTTAAATTATAGCTGTAAACGCTGTCTTACTAGTTTCAAATGATCTTCGACTTTAGTCGCGCACAAGAAACTATGCCAAGAGAACAAAATACAAAAAGTCAGTATGCCCCTTAAAGATGCACCAATCTGACTAGAATGGTCAATCACCCTTTCGTTATTTACTGCGATTTCGAATCGCTCACCAAAGAAGTTTCAGGACCGGGCCCCTCATCATCGATTAAGGATTGATGAAAAGATTATATTTCATGAATACTACGCCGGTCAAAACACCGTGTTGCAATTTCTAGAAACCCTTAAATATCTTTCGCAACATATTCTGAAATTAATGCATCAGGTATCACCAATGATTTCTGAAATTGATACATCAGTTATCGCCAATGTCTTCTGAAATTGATACATCAGGTATCGCCAATGATTGAAGAAATTGGGCATGATATCGACCCCGATAGATGCCACATATGCAAAAAGGAGTTTGTGTGTAATGACATAAGGGTAAGGGATCACCAACATTTTGGCGACTGTGCTATTCGCGGTGGGGCATGTCAGGTCTGCTCTGCAATCCAAATTGTCGTATTCGATATTTTATACCCATAGTTCTTCACAACGGCGAAAATTACGCTGCTCGTTTAATTTTAAAAAAACATTCCAAAAAATTATGCCGGTGCAATTAATGTCATCTCTGTTAATATGGAAAAATTCATGATGTTTTCTCTAGATTCCCTTAAATTTATGGACTCATTTCAGTTTTTAAACAGATCACTCGACACTCTAGTTGATAATTTGATTAACGCTAATCACGACTTCAAAATTTTTTCGCAAAATTTTTGAACATGAACAACATCGCAATTATTGTTGAGAAAGGGAATATTTCCTTATAGTTATTTAGATAGCATCGATACATTGAAAGAAACAACATTACCTTCTAAAAGAAGCATTTTTAAACATTTTAACCAACTAGCCAACTCGGATGAAGATTGTGATCACGCTAGAAATGTATACCAAAATTTTTGTTGCGAAACAATACCTAGAACTGTATTAAAACACAGATACTGTACTTTTGACAGAAATATTTTCTTCCTTCAGACAGAAATGCTTAAAAGAATACGAGCTCGCTCCGGTACATTTTTTAACGAGCGCAGAGCTAACGCGGAACGTAGGTCTGAAATTTACCAAAGTCAAATTAAAGTTGTTAAAAAGTGTAGATAAGTATATTTGGTTCGAAAGCCAAGTGCTCGGTGGTGTGTGTTATTTGGGCAAACGTTACTGTAAAGCAAACATTCCCTATTTAGAAGAATATGACGAAAGTAAACCGCATAATTTCATATGCGCGTTAGATGTCTGTAATCACTATGGCACTGTAATGTGTCAGAAATTGCCTATCGATAACTTTTCGGGGCTTACAGAAGATGAAATTTTAAATTTTGATGCTTATAATTAAGATGCGAACTCAAATGTCGGATTCATTCTCGAAGTAGACTTGGACCGTTCCTCCTTAGTGCATGATAAATTGGACGAGTTTCCCTTGGCAGTCGAACATTTTAATATAACATACGGTATTTTATCCAATTATTCTAAAAAAATGTGCAATTAGTTCAATTTAAAATCCACATTACCCACCAAAAAGCTAACTGCCACGTTATACGACGAAAAGAATTATATTACGCACTACTTAAATTTGAGATTTTACTTAGATCAGGGTATGATACTTAAAAAAATTCACGGAGTTATGTGCTTTTCGCAAAGCAAATGGTTAGAAGAATACATTAAGTTCAACCACGATAGAAGAATAAACGCAGACGACGAATATACTAAATTTCTATACAAATTAATGAATAACGCGCTCTTTCGTAGACTAATTATCCAGTGCCCTTTGGAATACTTTGAACCAGTGAATGATAATTTAACAATTTTTAAAATGAAGCAAGCTAACCTCATTTTAGACAAACCCATATATCCTGGGTTTGTTATTTTAGAACCTTCGAAATTGCACATGTATTCACTATTTTACGATAAATGTAAAAAGCATTATAATTCAGATTGTGAGTTACTGTACATTGATACAGACTCGCTAAATTTAAATATTAAAACCCAGAATGTATACGGCGATTTTAAAGAGCATTTTTCATCCATTTTAGAAATGAGTCATTTCGATCTGAATAATTCAAGCAAGGGAAAATTGGGATTGTTAAAAAAATGAGACAGTGTTAGCCATTTAGGAATTTGTGGGTCTCCGCCCAAAGATGTATGCATTTTCTTACGGAAGGAATGTAAAATGACCGCCAAAGGTGCATTAAAAGAGTATAACATAGAAATGTGTAAATCAGCTTTATCTCAACAAACAAAAAACCAGACAGACTCAGTGCTCCGAAGAAACATACTCTGATGACGGAAATTCAAAATAAAATCGGATTATCCCCCTATTACGATAAGCGATACTTACTCGATAATGGAATAGACTCTTTAGCATACGGGCACTGTAGTATAAATGAAAAAGAAGACGATTCAAGTTAAAATCTATCCAGCACACACCACAACCGTTACTTATCACTCTTTTTTTTATTTCATACCAGTTATTACCTCACTTTATATATATATATATATTTGTTTTTAGTATTTGTGTTTTTTTTTTTCACTAATTGATGCATTCCATTCTATTGCATTTTCTATTGGACATTTTTGTGCGTGCTTTTGTATTTTTAACCAAAAAAAGAAAAAAAAAAGCATTCACTCCTAATAATGCCCTGTATGCCAATCTTTTCCTGTGTCAATGTGTATTTGATTCATTGTCGTCGGCAGGGTTAATGTGCAGAGCGACTAAGTCCAACACCATCCAGAGAAGGAACTCTTTCAGAGGAGAAATTAGGTTGACGAAACAAGCCCTTTCATCCCTTCCGGTGAGTGAGAGAGAGGGAGGGAAAGAAACTATGGAGAGAGAGAAAGGAGCGCAGGTAATGGTCTCAAAAGTTTTCCTCCCCCCCCCACCTTCCCAGCAGTGGCGGATCCAGTGTGGGGGGGGGGCGTTCATAAGGGTCATGATCCCCCCCCAAATTGAAAAAAAATTTTTTTTAATAGTTTACAAAAGAAATAAAATATTTAAAAAATTTTTAAGGGGGCATACACACCTAGGTAGGCCGGAAACATGTTCGATTTTTCTTTCATTAGTTTCATCGAAAACATTAACATGTTGAAGCGCGCCGAGAGCTCCGAGCGTACTTCAACAAGTTTAACCGAAGATTGTATTTGCCAAAGTTTGTAAAAAACGTATTATATTAATTATTTAAAGATTTTGAGTACTTGAATTATTTATGTATTGATCTATTGTTCATTATGAAAAAAAATAAATGAGAAGACTAGCATTAAAAACCCCAGGTTTTTTTTTCAAAAAAAATATTTAAAAAAATTTTTTTTAGTAAAAAAAATTAATTAAGGGGGGGGGGGAATCTGAGTCTATGACACCCCAGAAAAATTTCCGGATCCGCCCCTGCTTACCAGTGAATATCTCTAAGATGCGTCACAGAGAAGCAGATCTTCAATCGTTTTAAGGTAAGCAGGCATGAGCAAATATGACAATATATTTTTATTAATATTTAAAGACTGACGTATTCGCTTTGTTAACTTGGAATATTGCCTTCAAATAATATGTATTTAATGTTACTAAGTTGTTGTCCGATGTTTATGTATTGCTTTCCCTCCCGACAATCCAGCTCTCACTATTCTCGGATGACACTCCTCGCAGTTGAAGAAAAAAGATGGATTACGGAAGAGACGATGAAGAAGGTCAAATCAACTAGTGGAGGTAGAAATGTGTTTNTAAATTTAGTAGGAACAACACAACCTGTGACGTAGGCTATATTATACCCAATTGCATGCTATTTACATAGTCAATATCTTCAGATTTTCTTTCTTCACGTATTTGACATTTTTCATATTCACAATATTTTTTTATATAGGTGTAAAGAGCAATTTTTTTTTACCCCGCATTCGCGCTAGGCTCGAAAGGAAACACTCCCTTAAAAAACTTCCGTCGGGCAAAATAGTTAAAATGCACACACACACACAGTTTTATTTACACGGGGTGAATCTCAAAAAGAAAGTCATCATTGTTCAGAATTTTGAAGTAGCCAACTTTAAAAGTTAAATCACATCCGGCAGCATCTCTTTGGTTCGTTGAAAGATTTTTTTGCACTTAGAATGGTGGAGAGTAGATCGTGTCCCAGTTCACTTAGTGCATCGTGCACGGTGAAGCGATCACCATCTCTCGCTTTGAAGAAAAGCTCTAAGGGAAGCATTTCTTGGTTCGTTGAAAGATTTTTTTGCACTTAGAATGGTGGAGAGTAGATCGTGTCCCAGTTCACTTAGTGCATCGTGCACGGTGAAGCGATCACCATCTCTCGCTTTGAAAAAAAGCTCTAAGGGAAGCATTTCTTGGTTCGTTGAAAGACTTTTTAGCACTTAGAATGGTAGAGAGTAGATCGTGTCCCAGTTCACTTAGTGCATCGTGCACGGTGAAGCGATCACCATCTCTCGCTTTGAAAAAAAGCTCTAACCGAAGCATTTCTTGGTTCGCTGAAAAATTTTTTTGCACTTAGAATGGTGGAGAGTAGATCGTGTCCCAGTTCACTTAGTGCATCGTGCGTGCACGGTGAAGCGATCACTATCACTCGCTTTAACCAACTAACAAAATCCGAATTGTACACCACTCGGTTTATCATGAATCATCCTGACGATATCAGAGTTCTTCAAAATTTTAAAATAAAGCACATTTTCCGCATTTTCTTGTTCCTTTCTGACAACGCTTCTCATACAATCAGCAAAGTTTGAATAAATGATGAATAACGGAAACGTTTCATTTTTAACAGCCGAATGAGAAATACTCTATGGAGGAAAACGTTATCGCATATTAGTCACGGCGCGACAGTTCCGTGTTTTGTCGTGAAAACAATGGCGACACAATCCGAGTTTTAGTGCAGTTTTTGAAAAACGTGATATACTCTTTTCGTTTTCGATCATATCATTTTTATGTAGTTTAATTAGCGTTAACTTTTTACATTGATGATACAAAAAATACAAAACGAAATAACCACAAGTTGTCGTGTCAGAAGCTTGAAAGCAATATTTGTTATAAGTAAACGATTTCGAATTTGCCCTTAAAAATTTTAAAATATTTGCAGAAGGTGGTCGTCAATAGCTATCAAAATATATTGCTTTTTCATTTGCAAAATGAACTGCAATCCAGTGACTCCCCGGTAAGGTATGCGAATCTAAATTAATAATAAAAGAACAAAAGTCTCTTTTTAAATTTTGGCAGCGTGTCCGATGCGAAAATGCCTCCGAATCCCTTTTTAATTATTTTATTACCACATGCAAAGCGACACAACGAAAGGTTATCCATCAATAATCTGTAAATACTCCGCGCGATTTATCAATCTCAATAGTATTATTGTACTGCGCGTAGCAAATTAAATTTTGAGTTTCGGGGAGATCCTCTGCAAATTTTATATCCAATGGAATATTTCCGTTCTTGGTGATGTTGGCGTGGTTCTCGTTTGAAGCGAAAGCCGGGGTGAGATCCGTTGCATACGACGTATAACCGTCTTTAATTTCTGAATAGTTAATGTTGATATTTAGCCCGTTATGATAACGCCCTAGGTCGGTGAAGAGACTTAGATAACTTCCAGCGTAACAATTGCTCGCAAAATCAGGTTGATAGGATTTGACCAGGTAGCGTGATTCCAAATGAGAACCATACCCATCCTTATGCCAGAGAATATACTAAATTTCTATACAAATTAATGAATAACGCGCTCTTTCGTANTTTTATTAATAGTATCTTTTTCTACAGAACTACCTAGCTTTCTACGTATTAAAAAAAGATTATGAAAAAATAATATTTCATATACAAAAAAAAACATATTTTGATTCACAACCAGGATATTAATTTTGATAGAAGATTGGAAAGTGGGGTTACTTTTCCCGACTGATTTTTGCACATAAAAAAGCTTGAAAAAACGCGCTGTCCAATATTATTATAATATTAGTGTTTTTCATATTACGCGTTCTTTCAATTTAAAACTTTCAGCAAAACAAACCACAAATGAATTCAGGAGACTCCGCAAGCTTGCTATGATGCTACCCAAAATATAGCAGACGGCGCTGTTTTACAGAAATATAGCCAAATAAATTAGAACACTCAAAACATGGCAAACTTTACACTTTATTAATGCTGTGATATTAATTTTGTTAATATATATAAATATATATTTTTTTTATTTATTTATTCGTTTATTTTTTGGGCTACAAAATGTTCGAATCCGCTACTTTTGGAGCTCCCATTCGCTACTTTTTAATCATAAGTTCTGGCAACACTGAACCTAACCCAGGCACGTGTTTTCCTTTGAAACATTACTTTGGGCTGAGAGAATTTAAGTTCAATATGTAAATAAATAGATGATATGATAATAAATGGTGAATTATTACATTAAAAAATATATTTTTTCTATAAGTTATAGTTTTGGTTCCGATACGAACATTATATTAAGTTATAGAATTTTGTATTTATATATTTTTTAAGGTTTTATTGAATTTGCTGTTTTTAAGTATCCTTCCATTAACAGTCATATGCATAATTCATGTCATTGTGCAGCTCTAGTGCGACGTATATAAAGTATCTATTTATGTAATTAATTTCTTGACAAAATATTGAATGGTACTTTAAATACTTTAGTTTTCGGCAGTGTTTTTTCTATTCTGTTAGTAATATAAATAATTTTATCTATTTAATAACTCTTAGTTAATATCTTAATTGAAAAAAAAATAATTATAGGAAAAGTTTGTAAATAAACAAAACATTTATAATGATGTAACATCTTACAACATGCACATCTTGATTTCAAAACACCTTTCATTTTTATAATTAATGGAAATTGATAATTTGAAATTTTTTTCAAAGGATAATTGCTGAAAAAAAGAAAAGAATCGCCAGAGCATAAATTATTTACTTTACTATTATTTTGTTTTGTTGCAACAATATATTTCACATTTAGGATATTACATGATTAAGAATAAATAATTAGTTACATACATTTTGTAAACTAATTATTTATTCTATTTCTATTCTATTAACTAATTATTTATTAATATGTGACATATATCATACCTTTCATTTTTACAATGTATGGAAATTGATAATTTTAAATTTGTTTCAAAGGATAATTGTTGAAAAAAAGAAAAGAATCGCCAGAGCATAGATTATTTACTTTACTATTATTTTGCTCTGTTGCTACAATATATTTCACATGTAAGATATTACATGATTAAGAATAAATAATTAGTTGCATATGTTTTGTATTTTAGCGTTTAAAATATCCGTATTAACACTAGGTTTTAAATAAATCCATTTCAATGGCATACGGAGGTGTAGGGATACCAGGGACAAATTTCATGAACTCATTTTAATGCTAATGCCTGAAGGAATTATGGTACTTTTATATTTCAAATGCAGTAAATGAGTAACCAAATTATTTGTGGTACTTAATTGTAGACAATAGATACACTATAGAGATATTGTGGTAATAGTGTTTTTCTGACTCCAAAGATTGATGAGTAAAAAATATTCTTCATTTTCATTACAGTCAAAAATGTTTCAATTTTAATGTTATCAAATGTTATAATTTAATTTGTTTAAAAGTCCTAATATATCTTAAATTGTTTTCTTGCAGCTAGTAGGGAAGAGTGGGGTCAATTGTAAAATTTTTTACTTAACTATTTTTAACTAACAAAAAATCCAATATATTATTAGTATTAATTGACAGACGAGTAAAGTAGACTATCCTCTACTAGAAAAAAAAATAAATACCTTATTTTAAGTGTTATTATATTAGTTATTAACAATTTTTGACAGTCGTGCACTTGTTACAATTGTCCCCACTTACGGGGTCAATTGTAACAGTTCATAAATTCAACTAAAACATAGTTAATTATACATATTATCATAGTTGTGATATATTTTTTTATTGATCAAAATAGTAGTGATATTTTAGGAGTAAAAATAATAATGAGCAGAGACCTAAAGGGTTAAACTTTTAACTTTAAGGGGTTAAAAATTTTAATTTATGCTGTGAAAGGTGACAAATAAAATAATGCACATGCAACATAATATAAATGATATAGGAAACTATTGGTGGTTCTTAAAGAGTTAAGTAATGGTTTGTAAACATAAGATTATTTATTTTCAGCTGTTACAATCGTCCCTTTACTTATTGTTACAATCGTCCCCAAGACGCCATTTCAGCTTCATTTGTTAAAAACAATGCTAGTTAATTAACAAAACTAATATTTTTTTTTAAATGTTAATTAAGGTGTCCACTAACATATTCGGTTAATAACTTTTATTTGTTTAAACAAAATTACTTTGTTTTAATATAATATTCTAATACCAAAAAAAGTACTTACGTAGCGTGAAAATATATTTTGAGATGTAACTCTTTCAAAAGTACATAAAAATGGTTGCCAGCAGGGGTGTACATTTAGATTTATTAAATACACCTTGTGCTCCACCTAGGAACCAAATCTAGAACGCGACACTCGAAATTTTTGCTCTGTTACAATCGTACCCTGTTACAATTGACCCCACTCTCCCCTACCTATCTAATGAAACATACAATTTCCTCATTAACGCAATATTGGTATTCTTGTAAATAATTGAAAGTTTGAATATATTTATACGTCAATCAGAT